TGAAAGACGAGCGGAAGCTAGTCTTAGAGAAAGAGAAAGAGAAGTGCAAAGGACTTTAGCTACACATCTTCGCGATAGGGATAAGGAAAGACAACATCATCGTCACACAGAGGCGGTTCAACATTTCAGCGCTCTTCTTGCTGATTTGGTATGTGTATAGCTTCAGTCACAAAATGTTCTGAGAATTATTGATATTTCTGATTACAATATCTTGAATTTGTCTCAATTTCAGGTAAGAAATGGCGATCTAGCTTGGAGAGAAGCGAAACGACAATTGAGGAAGGACCATAGGTGGGAGTTGGCGGAAAGTTTAGATCGCGAGGAAAAAGAACGATTGTTTAACGAACACATTGAACAATTAGGCCGTAAGAAGCGTGATAAATTTCGGGAATTACTCGATGAAGTAGGCGCGTCAACTGAATTAACAGCATCTTGGAAAGATATTAAGAAATCGTTGAAAGATGATCCTAGATACTTGAAATTTTCTTCTAGTGATCGAGTACGTAATCATTAATTTAAAATGAAATATAAAAGTAAAAAAATTCAGAATTTACTTATTCTATATATATATTTTTTATTGTTTTAGAAATGCGAGAAAGAATTTAAGGAATATATTAAGGACAAACTTGTCGCTGCCAAAGCCGATTTCAGGGAGCTCTTACAGGTGCGTTTTAATTATTTAACTCGAAATATATCTTTTAAAATCCCATTGTGACTGTTAGTAAAAAAATTGCGATTTTCAGGAAACAAAATTGATCACTGACAAAACGTACAAAAAAGTTCAAGAGAATAGTTCACATCTAGCAGAGATCGAAGAAATTCTTAGAAAAGATCGTCGATTCCTTGTACTTGAAGCTACAGCCGCTGAACGAACACGATTATTAATGGGCTATTTGGAAGAATTAGCACGTAGAGGTCCTCCGCCACCTCCTACTGCTTCGGAACCATCAAGAAGATCAACTACAAAGTAAATTTAAAACGCAAAACAAAGATAACATAACTTTATATTTTGTTCTCTTAAACAAAACGAAACATCATTTTGTATTAAACATCTATTTCTGTTTCAGTTAAAGAATGATCTACATCGAAATGCGGTACCCATATGACACATAACAGTAACAAAAATGAATGAATTTATAGCTGTAGTTAATTGAATTACTTTACACACGAATTTATCGCCTGTATAGGATTCAATAAAATTTAATGAATGCCAATTCTACACAATTGAGATTGTATTGCATTGCGAGATATGTAGCACAAGCATATATATTGTTGATTAATATTAAATGAAATCCTTCACAGAATGTCGGTAAACCCGTGTAAAATAATTTACAATGCAATAATGTATTCTATATGCTTTTATGTTTTATATATATTAATCCCGTTCTCAATGTTATCCTTCAATTTACAAATTATAATTATTATTTAATTTAACATCTTGTTTAGGATGTTACATTGGTTAAACATATTGTTTTTTTATATAAAAACAAACATAAAGATAAAAAAACAGCGAAATAAATCAAGTTTGTAAAAAATTGATAAAGGATAAAAATTGATAAACGAATTTTTATCTTTTATCAATTTTTTCATGATCAATCAATAATAAAGATGTTACTCTAATTTATACTAAAGTTATATTTAACAATACTTTTTACGAAATATTTTATTACATTATTTTTGTAGGAATTAATTTGATCATGAAATAGTAAATTTCGTCGTTAGTTTCCATAATATGTCTTAGATGGCGTTGTTAACATAACTTTGGTTCGTCGTTTCAAATATGTATCTGATGATGATCAAGAAATCTCGGTGATTTTAATGCTTGAATATTAGAGATTTTAATATCGGAGAATTCAATGCTGAATATAGGATGATGATTTCACGACAGACATTATTCATTGATATTTCAAAGCATCATTAAACCGATTGATCGATAGAAAATAATTGTAAATAAATCGTCAATTGAAAATGAGTAAGCATTAAGAAAATTATATATCTCTTAATTTTTCAATAATGTGTAACAATGTATACATTCCGAATCCGAATCTTAAAAAAATTCTATGTAACGTTAAACAAAATAAGGCAAGTTGAATGCTGTTACTAATATAATAATAAATATCTTTTTTATATTAGAAAGAAGAAACTCCTTCAAAATTGACGTATTTAATTTCAAGATAACTATAACTTCCATTTCTTACGTAATTCATTTATACCTTTTTGTTTTATACATCATCTCAATTATGTATACATCAATTCGATCGCACATTATACACGCTTTCTTCTAATTCCTACATACAATTTTATATATAGCTGTAGGAATTTTCTTATAAGTTCATAGTAATGTTTTATGTTTATTAGAATAGCTATCGAGAGATATCGTTGCCTAATAAACACCAGCAAATATCTACATTACATTGTCCGTCGCGCTATACCGTTACGATACACAACGGCGCGTTCCTGTTGCACTTCCTGTTATCGCGGTAAGAATATAAATTGGTAAACTAAACCGGTGAAGTCCTATGTAGCCGAGCGTTACGTCACTAGAAACTCGTGCACCAAACAATTGAGAGCAGAATCTCATTTTGGGATTCTCACGGAATCCTTACGAAATTTTAACATCCAGCCTACGTGTTCAGCAAAGATGCAGCAGCACTCGTAGAAAATCTTTTATATATAAAATATTCAGAACACCGCGAGAGGAGTTTTTGAACATATTGAACATTGTTTCTTTTATTTTTAGGAAATGCTCAATTTTATTGTGCATTTGTATAAGCACCATAGATATTTGTCGAGCGTTAGCGTCTGAAATCTTTTTTGAATTTTTTTAATAAAAAAAAATATTTTCATTATTTTTCAATATTTATGAGGATAAATAATTCTCTGAACCGCGATTAGAGGCGAATCTCACAGCTTGATAACATAATTAGAGGATTAAGGGAATTATATAATATAATATAATTGGGGGAATTATATAAGAGAAAGTTCCTAATTATATCAGGAAAAATCTTGCGCAAATGATCTTCCACAACAACAGTGGAAACGGATTTCAGATTTAATCACATCGAGGGCGTACACTGTCATCGGGAAGATACCGGAGCGATCATCATCGATCGAATTACGTCACGCGATGTCACCAACTTTCTCCCGATTCTCCCGACCTTGCTGTGCTTTTTTGCTTTCGTGTCTGTCCGGATGTGAATCAATCTATATGTTCGAAGTTCCAGGCGGACCCGGCAAAGGTCAGACGCGACCGGTGAGGGTTAACGAACGGGTGGGATAACAGAGAGGATGGACTTCAGAGAGCAGATTTTTGCAAAGGCCTGCTTGGAGGTCGAGGAAGTGCCGTGGGAGACCCTGAAATCCGATTCCCCGACTCGGTCGAGTCGTATTTCTCATCGTTCGAATAACGCAATCGATTAGATAGCTTATTACAGCAGCGTTTCTTATTATTAATACGATCGAGACTTGTGGAGTGCGATCTGCATTATACAGTCTGTTTTTATAGATCTTTATAGCTTCTTTTGCACATTGAAATCTTTTTCTCTTTAAAAGTGTCTGTTACAGAAGATTTGGAATAAAAACAACCTGTCACGAAAAAAAATTATGTGATATATAATATTTACGGAACTGATAATTTGCAAGAAAGCATGAATTCTCTTCGCTATTGAATTTGAGAATTCGCTCAGCTGTTCGTTCAACTAAGAAAACAACGAGCATGTCTACCTTCGTGGTGATCGTCGATCATGAGGACCATTTGGGAAACTTGCTTCTACAATTGAAAAATCAAGGTGAACGGTTGATACTAACAAGATGATCTTATTCATACCACTTGGCGATATCTGTATGCACGAACGTGCGGTAATTAAGTGCCGATTCACATTTTTACGATATTTAAAGAGTCGAAAATATAAATAGCAAAATCTACCTCTGTATAAAACGAACACTAAATTATTGATTATAAAATTAATTTGTGAAATAGAAAATTTATTTAAGAATTAATTTTAAAATGGAGGTTAAATTAATTATTCTATATTAAAATATTTTCTTTCTTCTAAACATGAAAATCTTGCAAAATTATAAAATAATGAAACATCTTTTTGTGATATTCTTAAGATGTTTCATGAATCATTATTGTGAAAAATGATAGGTGCTTACCATCCAGTCGACTTCTCACATCTACTTTCCATTTAATTTATATCATTATGATAATTTAATTGTGTTTCAGTGAATTGATAAGTAGAGAGAAAAGTAAACACGAAAAAATAAAGTTTCTTTATATGTATCAAGCTAAAAAAATTTTTGTGATATGTCAGAACGAAAAAATAACTTATAAGTGATTATAATTAGATCACGCAATAAAATTAAAATTAGAAATCGATTTAAATACATATTTATGACTCTAAATAATTTATATTTAGATATACAGAACAATATTTTGACAATTACAGCTTTACATATTTTTCGATTCTTGTGTGTTTTCCATTTTATCATATTGCAGTTGTCGACTCGAGTTAATTCTAGCCTCGGCTCGTAGCATCGCTAAAAGTCATGCAAATGGAAAGGCGATTCGATACAGAATAATAATAACAGAACTCGCATTTTCTTGTGCGATTCCCGCGAGGCGCTAAAGACGTCATCAGCAGGTGAACTGCAGCCCATTGTCATCGAGGAATAGTTATCCTCCATTGCTTATCGATTCTGTCCCTGATTATTTTCACGAGCGCCAAAATGCACCAGCAGGCAAGATCCGTCGATTTTGCCGAAGAGGCAGCGGGCGGAGGCGGAGGAGGGATCCACAGCCGTTGGAACTGTTGGAAGGGACGGTGGATCCTGGCGGCCTCGACGTGCCAGCTCCGCCTCGAGCTCGCTCGCGCCTCGACTAAGTGAAAGTCGGATTTTGCTTTCTACCCGCTCTACCCGCGTTCGCCTGGCCAGTGACAAGCGCGTCGCGCTCGCGTACGAACACGCCGTTCTTTGGCTTGATAGCAATGATCCTTTCCGCGTGCAGCTAACGGCACTGATAGTTCTCACGTCTGCTGGAGCACGAATCCGCCGACGCGACACCCGCGTCGAATGGGGACCGGTCGGTGGTCCTCGATTGCGCGATGAACTGCGAGTGAACCTGTTGGGCATCCGCCGTGTGCAAACACTCGTCGAGGACGGGGTCCACGAACATCGCGAAGAGGCTGAGGGAGAGACATGCCGAGGTGCCGACGAGGAGCGACCTCGCGTGGCCAGGTCCTCCTCCTGCGTCTGCTACTGGTTTGCGCGCTCATCGCCACCGGTCACCAAGAGGGTAAGTTCACGAGGGAGGATCTCTTCGCTGGGGAACTTCTGGCTGCTTCTGGCACGCATGTTAAGCACAACTTTAAAGCACCCGCGTTCACTTCGCGATCCGCTTGTCAGAGTGCGCTGTAGGATTACAACACGCAAACCTTTCATGGATATGCTTCTTGGTGAACGTGAAGGATATTTATCTGGGGAGGGCAAGAGTGACGGGCACCAACGACGATGGGACCACGGAGCCTGGCCAGCCACGGTGATTTTGGAATTTTGCACGCAATATCTGTATGTTCCCCTCGGAATGTATTGCGCATTGATCAGTGGATTAGAATTTTTAGTTTTGCGTGATTCGGATAATCTATAATTGTTGGGAAAAATTGACACGCATGAATTTTTTTTGCTACAATCGAGATTAATTGGGAACCAAGGCGTGTGCCAAACATTAATATATTTTTCAATCTCTATTTTACGATTTTCGTGGCTCCTCGAATTCTTTTGTTCATTATTCATAGAAGTTTTGCTCAAATATATAAAAATTTAACTAGATATGAAAATAATTTTGTTTATCGAAACAATTATGTAAAATAGGCTTAAACTGGTCGCTAGCTCGTTAGAACTTTTTGCAGCATTGTCATTAATAATTTAAGCATCGTAGAAAGCTATATAATTATTTCAATAAGATTATTTTCAGAGCTGTATTTAGTTAAATTTTTTAATATTTCAGTGAAATCTGTTTTTTCTGTATACAATTACAAATAAATGCGTGAGCTTATATTTCAGCCGCGAATCTACGAATTCGTTAATGATATGGATCTCCAAAGTTCGCGCAAACGTGTATTTTTTATACGCTAACATAAAACTTAGAATTTGAAGATAATTTGTAAATTCGTCTGTTGATTCAAACCAAAAAAACAAAAGGATTAAAGAATCGGTATCTCAAAATCCGCTGATGCTACGTATTATTCATACTTATACGGTATGTCCTACTTTTACTTCATTATACTTGAATGACAGATGGTTAGAATGGTTTAACGCCGATCCTTCTTTGGCGTGGATATATCGAGGAAAGTTATTGTCCACTGCAAATTTTCTTATGTAAAAATTCTATCAAAGTCCGTTCTTTCAATCGATCAAAATTAGATTATATTATCGTTATCTAATATAATTTCCGGAAAGAATCCTAAAATTCAGGATCTTCTCATCTCCAATGACTAATTGCCTGAAAATCATTAAATCATTATAATTGAAGAAAAATGGATCCTACGTTAATCGAAGAAATTATCATCAGGAAATAACGTGATAGAATCTATCCAGACACCCCCGTATCTCTTACGAAATGCATGATGCCAGGAGTTTTATAACAAACGAGTCTCGATCATTTACAGTGTTATACTATATTAGTGCATGCATACTAAAGGCTACCATATACATAAAATTAGCAAAGCTATAAAAAGCGTAATAAATATTTTAAACGAATTGAATATTCAAAAATGATCACTGTCACATTATTTAATAGAATATACATGTATTATTTCGTTGTTAAAATTGATTATATAAATTATCAGGATTGGATAAGAATTAATGTTTTTTTTTTAAATAAAGTTAAAGTTAATGGTTTTACAAAATTAATAAAGTTAAGTTAAAAGTTGAAGGAATAAAAAATTAATTTAACGTAACGTTAAGTCAATATTGAATTAACTTAAGTTAAAAAAAAAGTTAATTTTGAAAAAAATTATTTTTTAGATCATAATGTCCTAATTTTTCTTAAAATGAGATTAAATAACTATAATATAGATTATTAAGTAAATTAAATTTTTAATTTTTTTATTCATATGTAATATAAGTATATAACACATTACGATATAATTATATAAGTTGTAACTTTAAAAAAACAGCCAGCACATAGAGAAGATACAAGATCAGTGATTACTTTTTAATAAATCTTAAACAATAAGAAATTGACCAATTACAATCGAATGCGAGAAGAATATTTGATTGTAATTGGTCAATTTCTTATGATTTAAGGCTTAAAACACCTATGCGAACGATATATGCATAAGGCATAACCGCATAAACCAATCAGAGGGCTGTATTAGTATCTTAAGAAATTACTTAAGATTAAGAAGTCTTAAAATATGAACAGATTACGAATATAATACGCTCTTAGTCTTATTATATCTTATTATTTTTCTAAGATATTTAAAAGAGATAAAAAAATTTTTTAACTTAAAAAAATTAAAAAGTTAACGTTTAAAAGTAACTTAGTTAAGTTAAAATTTAATGCATTTAAAATTAACTAAATTAAGTTAAAAGTTATTAATTTTTTAACTTTTTTTTTAACTTTTTAATGTTTTAACTAGTTACTATTGTACTTAACCCTGCAAATTATATTATGTCATTGCATTTAGATACTTTATATAAAGCAACTTTTGTATGTATACCGATTAAATATTCCTTCGATCTGCGACAATCTTAACGGCTGTAATCATTCGATATATTCGAAAATATCCCTTTTTCACAACCGCAAAACGGAATGTCGTTCGCGCGCGAATAATGGTCGGCGGTCACGAGCCGACCGCGATGTTTGCCCGCGCTACGTAATTTCGAAGTAGTGGTAGCGCGATTCACGACACAATAGAATTGCGATACGGTTGCGAAGTGGCGATAGCGGGTCTCCTCGGACTCTGGGCCTTATTGTTGGGTCTAATGGACGACGGATTATTGCGCTCCGCCCTTGTCGAACAGATTTTCTTCTCGCGATTTGTAATACCAAGCGGGCGCAGCCATTCTTCACAACCTTGTCTTTGTTCGCCATTGTTACGCTTATCGTCGGATGCACGCGAACACGACGGATTGGCAAATGATTGTCGAACAATCGCGCCGTGTTACGCACAGACGTACGAGAAACGCGCGTCATTACTCGCATTCTGAGGTGAATGTGAACGAACGCTGTTAGACGCTGTTATAGACATTAAGGTCTCGTAAATTTGCGCAATTTGCAGATTTCCGCAGTTATGCGGATTGTCTCAGAGCATTGCATTGTCTCTCGGCAATTGACTGAATTTGAAATTGATTTCGCAGAAACTATCTGTCGCTAGATATCTGTCGTAACTCATCTTCTCATCTTTCAATGTTGGACATCCGCAGATTATTTTTGAAAATTAGTGAAGAAAAAATATTTTCTCAAGAAGCATCGAGACGTACACAATCCATTGACAATTTTGCTCGAAACACGAATAACTAAACTGTAAAAATTATTGCATTGAAAATGCATCTTTTTAATCTACCCGATCGAATATCGATATAGTAATGTCTGATATTTTTTATATTAAAAAGAGCAGAAAAAAATATTATTAAAATTAATATTATTATCGAAGTCAAGAATCGCTACTTTTTGATTTTTGTAGAACCAATTGATAACTATGACGAGGCATTAATCCGTGAAAGTTCTTCGCACGTGACTTCGATGAAATTTCGCGCGGCGTGCGAAGACTTCTTCGCACGGAAAGGTCGAAGAAACTTGCCCACTCGAAAATTTCCGATGCAGTAGAAAGTAAAACGACCGATGGGTCCTTCTAATCTGTTATTCGAATTCACGATCCCAAAATAGTCTCTACGTCACTCGGATGGAGTGTCGTCGAGCGAAGTTCTTTTTCACTCTCCTTGCATTCCTTCTTACCCCTTCCGTTCTCCTTTTCCTTCATCTTTATTCATCTCGAGGGCGTTTCGAGTGGCGCCAAAGGTCGTAGAAATTTCGACGGTATTAAGGGCCGATGCTAATGAACGACCTTCCACATTTAGAACCCTAATGGGCTCGTGATATGGCAAGTAGATACGCGATTGGACACGATGAGAAGAAAATTCGCGTATGATTTGAGCTTGATGGAATCATGATATAAGAATACAATGTTTCATTGTGCACAATAGCGGTCGAATATAATTTTGGGGCAAATTTTTTATTTATACTGAAAAAATACTTAATTTTAATAAATATCTGTTTAAATAGTTCTAAATAAATATTTACTAAATATATATTTATTTGATACAAAAGCCATTAATTTAACTATAATTTTTTTTATTGAGTAAATATTTAGTAAATTTTTTTAAGTAAATTTTTTTTAATGTGTTAAATTTCTAGCGGTTCTATATTGGTTTATAACATTTGAGGCTTATTTTCTGATTAGTCTGATTTCTGATTGCGCATCTCGGAGCGAAACACCTTGTATTCTTACATCATGGAATGTACTGCATAAAAATACTAAATACGCGACTGAGAGATTTTCTACCATCTCTTCGCTTCGCGAAGAGCAATGTCGATAGCGGTGATATTTTATACTGCAACGCTGCTGCCTTGTCACGGTTGCAGCACGGAGGAATAGTAGTCCTCACGCACCTTGAAATGCCAAATACGTACATAGATCTGGAATATAAATTGCGGGAATTGTACATTGCAAGGGAGGAACGTGATAAAAATTTTGTTTGCACGTAAAACGACGATAAATAAATATAGCTTTTCATAAATAAAGTAGGCTTGATTGAATAGCGATAAGATAAAATAAAACGATCTAATATAGTGTCAAAAGAAAAATTTTTGAAGATAAATATTGTATCTAAAAATATTATTATATTTTTAATTTATATAAATTAAAATAAATCTTTTAAAAGAATATTATTAAATAAATAGAAAAGATGAATATTAATTAAATTCGTAAAGTGCGTACAGGATGCATTCACGAAAAATTCAACAGCTATTAATTCGTATCGAATATTGATTAATACTGACCCATTTCGAGGGAGGTATTAGATACTTCCATGCTTTCCGTTTTTATGCCTCGTAATGCGCACCGGCGCGCCTTCTTTTTCTCATTTTCATCATTCTTCGTGCATGCGACACGGAACGGTAATCAAGGAATTCAGAGCGCCACGTCGATGTTGATGTGAGAAATATCTACAGGCGCACGAAGCTCGCGCATACGATCTTCCCCGCGCGTCTCATTTTCCGACGGTATGACG